AAGAACTCATTTAGCACAGAAATAAAATTTCATTTTCATTAGTCATAGGGATAAAAACTAATTCTTATGAAAACATTATTTCCTGATAACATGTTTATGTATAATGGGAAATAAATAAATACTATGGAACAAGCAACAGGACTTTGTTGAATTCTAATCTTAGATTTCTGGAAAAAAAATCTTCCTATGATTACTGTTTATATATTTATAATTTCCACTGCAAAAAAATTATTGTAAAGGTATACTTTATGTGGTACATTGCATAATTTACCAATGGGATTTACACACTTCAAAAGTGGACATGAAACACTGAATACTTGTACCACTCTGCAGGCAAACATTACAAAGTAACAAATATACAACTGTTTACACTGTATGCTTTCACAGGACAATTATTTTCATGATTTCTAACATTAAATTAAAATATTTGGTTCCATTCTCAGTACATAGTACAATAAACATGCATAATTCTTAAAGTTACTTTTATTTCTCAAGTTAACTACAACAAAAATAAAGAGGAATAACAATTAAGGATTTAATCTTCCTGAACAGAGAACTTGTTTTTTATAAATTTCTTACCATCAAGACAAGTTAAAACAATTAATACTAACTGTTCTACTGAAAATCACAAACAAACAGAACAAAATGAAGCAACATCAGTTTTTTTCTGTTCTGCATTTAAAAGAAAAGAATTAGAAAGTTAAAAGTGAACTTAAATTGAAATGCATTACTTAATGAGTAGTCTAATTGTATAGCATAGTACAAAATAACAATTTATTACATCTAGGTTTGATAAAGGAAGACAGAAGTGTATCACAACCATCCTCCTTTTCTGTCTAGAGAGATTCTGTAATTAGTAAATAAACTTCATAGTCATACCTTTCATATATGGATCATTTACATGAAATAGAAATACTTTCACTTCAGAAATAGTATACATACAGGTATACGAAATCTACTTTTGGGAATAATAATAATCATATACAATAGCGCTGGTCCCTCTTTATCAAATTGAAACAAAAATAAAAAGGTTAAATATTCTAGGAATTACAAATTCTAACCATAAAATTCTGAACACATTAGAGGGTCCACATTCAGAAGGTATGAAATGACTATACTTCTAAATAAGGATAATCTTAGGAACTTCAATAACTTAAATGATTCAAACTGGAATTTACAACATGAATTAAGCTTGTACATTAGAATGTTTGTTGTTATAAAAATTAACTTCTCATTAGAGATATATATATTAAATTGCAGAAGAATGTGAAGCTGTGAAAATACCAGGTAATCTTTAATTGTTTGTCTTGGTAAAGAACAAGAAACAGAAAAAAAAAAACATCAATAACTGCTGTGATGTGCTACCAGTGTTCAAGAAAAGTAAACTTTAAATTGATATAAAAACAAAATTTTTATTCCAAACATATTCCTCATTTCTAAACAGTAATATTAAAAAATAAACTGCTATTAGTAAAGCACTGTTATATATATATAAAAGAGGGAAAAGAAAGCCAATCTCCAAAGTCATCTGACAGTTGTTTTCTCATTCAAGTCACAGTGGTAGAAAACTTATGGAGATTTTAGGACAATGGTTTTTCCTCAGGAGTAGCTGGTGTGACCCCTCCTGATCTTGGTTTTTCTGCATTTTTTAAAGCTTCTTCAAAGTTATTTGTACCAGTACTGTTGGAACCAGGTATCTTATTCTTCAAATAAAACAAAAAAATATATCAGTGAAAGCATGATGTAGACATTTAAAATGAATACATTTTCCACCACAAACCTATATATTAAACATCTGAACATGTAACCTCCAAATTAGAAGAAGTTATTGTTTAAGTACAGTGTATAAAATGTGAAACACATATTGAAAAAAAAAATCCATTAAGTATCTTTAATTCTCTTGAAGCTTCTCAGATGTTACTTGACACCTCTTAAGATAGGTTTAGTTTTTCATCTATTTTTGGTAGTTTTTAAACTTATTTATGAATAACACTGACTAAAGTCATCTGCAATGCCTTTTTAAAGATGTAATTTAATCTTGGTGCATAAAGCTAAAAGCAAAACTAAACTTTTCACAACTTTATAAGCACTAAAACAATCTTGCAACATGGAGCTAATTATTAATAACAATACACTCATTTCAATATAATTATTATTTAGTTAATTAATTTGTTTTTAAGGTCAAAGCTGATCATGCAGTGAGCTATCTGTTATGTGCCCATTGTAGGGATTAAACCTTGAATTTTAGTGTTATGAACCATCAGGTTTACCACTTAGACATCAAGGGGGAAATCATTATTAATACAACAATTTTGTCATATAAAACTAAAACCAGAACTAAACTATTTATTTTCACAAACAAGAACTGTATCTTGCAACATAGTTAACCAACAAACTAAATGCACATTAATTTATTATCAATAAAGAAAAATTGCTATAACGTACTTAACATAAAGCTATGAACTCACCCGAGTTTTACAAATACTAATACAATCTTGGAAAATAAAGCTAACAACATAACTACTGTTACAATAATTCCATATACAGTAAGCTTAACTAGCTACTTAATTACACTAATTTTTTTTTTATCTTGTTATATAAAACCAAAATTTAAATTTATATTCATGTTAATAATTACACCAACAATAAGATCTTTACACAAAACCTAAAAAACAATTATACCCATCTTAGCAATTTCATAAACAATAAACTTCTAATTTAAAGTCAACAATTTTACTATATATATATAGTACTTACCATAACACTT